CCGGACACAAATCTATAGAGTGTCGTGCTCCGAAAAAAGACAAGAAGAAGGGTCAAGCAAACATGGTTGAAAAGCATGATGATGTTGATGACTTATATGTCATGCTTTCCGAATGTAACTTGATGGGCAATCCTAAAGAGTGGTGGATTGATTCTGGAACCACTCGCCATGTTTGTGCTGTTAAAGAAGCTTTTGCTACTTATGCTCCTGTTGGACCTGATGAGACGATTTCTATGAAAAATGCTGCAAAGGCCAAGATTGAAGGATGTGGGAAGATATTTCTCAAAATGACTTCCGGCAAAGTAGTGACTTTGAACAACGTCCTTAATGTTCCCGAGATTATGAAGAATTTAGTCTCTACTAGACTTCTTGTTAAATAGTTTTAAATGTGTTTTTGTTTCCGATAAGGTTGTAATAAGTAATAATGAAATGTTTGTAGGAAAAGGTTACTTCACTGAGGGCCTTTTCAAGCTGAATGTAATGGTTGTTGAAAATAATAATAAAATTTCAGCTTCGTCTTACTTACTTGAGTCAAATGAATTATAGCATATACGTTTGGGTCATGTTAATTATAAAACCTTGCGAAAAATGATTAATTTGGAAGTATTGCCTAAGTTTGAATGTGACAAATCAAAATGTCAAGTATGTGTGGAATCTAAGTATGTTAAGCATCTTTATAAGTCAGTTGAAAGGAATTCAAATCCTTTAGACTTAATTCACACAGATATTTGTGACATGAAGTAAACCATCTCGCGGTGGAAAAACGTATTTCATAACTTTTATTGACGATAGTACTCGATATTGTTATGTTTACTTACTTAATAATAAAGATGAAGCAATAGACGCATTCAAGCAATACAAAAATGAAGTTGAAACGCAACTTAACAAGAAAATCAAAATGATAAGAAGTGATAGGGGTGGTGAATATGAATCTCCTTTTGAACAAATATGTTTAGAATATGGAATTATTCATCAAACAACGTCCCCTTACATGCCCCAATCCAATGGGATTGCAGAAAGAAAGAATCGTTCATTAAAGGAGATGATGAACGCATTATTGATAAGTTCTGGTTTGCCACAAAACTTGTGGGGGAAGTCATTCTTACAGCTAGCCTAATACTAAATCGAGTACCCCATAGCAAAACACAATTCATTCCATATGCAAAATAGAAAGGAAGGAAGCCCAACTTGAATTATTTTAAAGTGTGGGGGTGTTTGGCAAAAGTGCAAGTTCCTAAACCCAAAAGGGTAAAAATAGGATCGAAAACTGTTGATTGTGTTTTCATAGGATATGCAACTAATAGTAAATCATATCGATTTCTGGTTCATAAATCAGAAAATCCCGACATTTATAATAATACGGTTGTAGAATCAGATAATGCTGAGTTCTTTGAAAATATATATCTGTATAAAAAGGAATGTGAGTCGATTGGTGAAGTATCTAAACAACCTCGGGAAGAAACAAAAGAAAGTACACTTAACCAGGATGATCCAAGACGTAGTAAACGTCAAAGAATGTCTACTTCATTTGGACCAGATTTTGTGACTTTCTTATTGGAAAATGAGCCTCAAACATTTAAAGAAGCTATGTCTTCTTCGGAATCATTGTTATGGAAAGAGACAGTCAATAGTGAAATATAATCTAATTGAACAACCATACATGGGAATTGGTTGATCTTCCCCCTGGAAATAAACTATTGGGTTCTAAATGGATCTTTAAGAGGAAAATGAAATATGATGGCACTATTGACAAATATAAGGCAAGACTTGTGGTCAAAGGGTATAGACAACGAGAAGGTCTTGACTATTTTGATACATACTCTCCAGTTACAAGAATTACGTCCATACGAACGTTAGCAACGTTAACTGCAGTTTATGGTCTTGAAATTCATCAAATGGATGTAAAGACGACCTTCTTAAATGGAGAGTTGGAGGAAGAAATCTACATGGAACAACCTGAAGGGTTTGTGGTTCCAGGTAAAGAAAATAAGGTTTGTAGACTTGTTAAGTCCCTTTACGGATTAAAACAAGCACCCAAACAATGGCATGTGAAATTTGACCAAACAATGTTGTCAAATGGATTTAAGATAAATGAATGTGATAAATGTGTGTATATTTAAAATGTTCCAAATCACATAGTCATTGTTTGCTTATATGTGGATGGTATGCTTATAATGAGTAATGACATTGCCAACATAAATGCTACTAAGCGTATGTTAACTAGCAAGTTTGATATGAAAGACTTGAGAGTTGCTGATTTAATTCTGGGAATTAAGATCCATAAGACTTCTCAAGGTCTGGCACTGTCACAATCTCATTATATTAAAACAGTACTTGAAAAATTCAAGCACTTGGGCTTTAAAGTTGCAAAGACTACAATTGACATGAATCTTGCATTAGCAAAGAACAAAGGCCAAAGTATATCACAATTGGATTATACTCGTGTGTTGGGATGCTTAATGTATATCATGAATTGTACACGACCAGATATAGCTTGTGCTATAAGTAAATTGAGTCGATATACGAGCAATCCATGTCAATCTCATTGGATGGCCAGGAAACGAGTTTTGGGGTATTTAGCATATACCTAGGACTTTGTTTTACACTACAGTAAATATCATGCGGTCATTAAGGGACACTGTGATGCAAATTGGATCACCGGATCAACTGATTCCAAGTCCACAAGTGGATATATATTCACTATTGGTGGAGGAGCGGTATCTTGGAAGTCGTCCAAACAAACTTATATTGCTCGCTCTACAATGGAGGCTGAGTTCATAGCCTTGGATAAAGCCGGTGAAGAAGTTGAATGGCTCCGAAATTTCTTGGAAGATATTCCATTTTGGCCCAAACTGTTGGCACCAATATGCATATATTGTGATAGTCAAGCGACAATTGGAAGGGCTAGGAGCGTTATGTATAACGGTAAATCTCATCATATACGACGAAGACATAAAACCGTTAGACAATTACTCTCTAGAGGAATTATCACAATTGATTATGTAAAGTCAAGTGATAATGTGTCAGATCCGCTTACAAAAGGCCTAACTAGAGAGGTAGTTGAAAAATCATCAAGGGGAATGAGACTGTGGCCGAGAACAAGTCACAGTGGCGGTAACTCTACCTAGAAGACTGGAGATCCCAAGATCTAGGTTCAAGGAGATCAAACAAAGTCATTAATGACGTTTCAACATTGTCAAATAAACTTTTGATCCATTCTTGTGATGAGACAATGTTCAGTACCAAGGATAAAGCATTAAGGCTTTTTAATGATTTCTAAATTTGATACGGGGTATATCAAATAGTGTATCTATGGGATGCCACGTTTAGGAATCACCTATGTAAGTGTGAAGTGTTAGCCGCTTCAAGGAGAACTTTGTAAGGCTAGTTCTCTACGCACTAATGAAACCAGGCGGTGTTCATGGCTGAAATGAACACAACAATGAGAACCAAAGACGGTTAAGAATTGGTTGTGTGACATGTGGTTGTCTAGGTATACACCAAAGTTCGACGGTTCAAAGATATCAAATCTACCGATTGATCGAGTATATCCGACATAAGTTCACTACGGAAAGTTCAAAGGGAAACCTACTTATCCAGATGCAATTAATCCTTACTTGCGAATCACACAGTTTTTCATCCATACTTCCGTGATATAGCCATTCCCCATTCATGTGGGGGATTATTGGGTTTTTATGTATTTAATTAATATATTAAATACTTAAAAGAGGGTGAATGAGACATGGAGGGAAATGAAATTTTTGAGTGAAATTTTAAGTTTCCCTCTTGGTAAATGGATATTGTCCCATATTGGAAGAGGAAAAGGTTTTTTTATGGGTATATAAGCAATTGCTCTTCTTCTAGCTCTTAAAGAGTTAAGAAGAAGACAAGCCTCGCGTCGTCGTCGTCGTCGCTCGCTCGGCTCGGCTTCGGCTTCGGAATCGGAATCGAATTCGGAATCGGAATCGGATTCGGATTCGGATTTTGTCAAATGATCGATTGATTGATTAACTTTTTGGAACAAATTTATTTGTTAATAGTAAAATATTAATATTAAATCCAATCCGTTTTTCTGTTTTGGTAATAGAAAATTAACTACTCTCTTCAATTTTCCCTCTTTATTGATGAGTAAATAGCCATTTATGTAATGACATTTATGCTGTGGCCGTTTTGCAGAAACAACCATTCTGAAGAGTTGCACCTCTTTAGATTTCAGCCCAACTTTGGCTATAAATACAAGGCTATTCTGCTCAGAATTCTCATACGATTTTCTGAGTTTCTCCTCCTCCTTCTGCATAATTTTAGCATCAGGCAAAGCAATAGTAAGTGTGATTTGCTACCGAACTTTGTGTTCGCTGAAACACTAGGATTTGAAGTACCACTATACTAGTGTGTAATTCGTTCTATCCTGGGAGGAAATAATCCATAACCTTGGGTACTAAGAGGGGATTAAATTCCTTAAGGAAACACTGTGAATTCAGTGGGCTCGAATTGGTTTTCTGTTATTTCGTTGTTCACTTCTGTTTATGTTCATTTCTGTTTATGTTCATTTATATTTCCAGAATTATTTTACAAATACAGTTTACTAACATTTACTTGATTTTTTGGCCTTTTTGTTTGTTCATAATATTTGATTTTTTCAGATATCAAGAAAGAATTAGTTTTTTTTTCAAAGTTTCCATTGGAGTAAATTGCCTAAAGGTATTTGTAATATTTTTAATGCAACAATTAAGGTTAATATGATTAATTTTATTGTTAATTAATAGTAGAAGATAACTTTCATAATATATGTGAAAATAACCAAAAATATTAATTAAAGTGGAGGGGAGGGAATATTGAAACACCAGAAAAAGCGAGATAACCAAGTTTATATCCACTCGGAGTCTTGGACGATCATTAGTATATAACTACCTCATCTATTTTGCCACGCAAAGAGAAAAAGAAAAATAGAACATAGGGTTTAAAGGGAAAAAATGAGAGAAAAAAAATACTATATCTTTTATCAAACGGTTTTTTTTCTAATCGTGTGGTCTTTGGCTGAAATCTCCGCGACTGAAATCTCTCTCACTCTCTCTCTAGATTATCTCATATTCGCTCCCTTGCTTCCACCATTGGCTTATCCTCGCTTCTTGAGTGCTCCCTAATTTCTCTGAATTGCGAAACTCTTGCCTGAGACAATCGCAGCTTTGAATGCGAATCTTTTGATTCCTTTCATTGGCTGTGATTTTACTGTATCATTACCTTCCGGCGGAATATGTTTATTTATCTTCTTCATCTTTGTGTTCCCAGACGAATGAGCTTTTGTCACAGTTGGCTTGATTTTCACCTCAACGCGGAATGAGTAGTTCGTGCACCGATGCTTTTGAATAGACATGGCTTCTGCTACTTCAATGTCAGGTGGTCACTACGTTTATTAATTTCATTTCAATGTTTGCGTGAATAGCGTGTTAGTTAATCAATACACCTTAATTGCAAAGTAGTCGCGCGCAGGCTATATAAATTATGTAATTTTATTCCAATATGTTTCATTCCACTGCTAAATTATTTGTATTGCGATAAGGCAATAAAGGTTTTCAGTGACTGGAGGTTCACTAAATCTACTACTAACAATTTCTCGTGGAAAACAGTGGAGCTAACGTGAATAATGTGTTAGTCTTGTATTTATTTATTTTAACTGGATTTAAGTTATATACAGAAAGTGTCTGTTATAAACTGTTCGCTGTTATAGCAGATTACTTACCAATATCTATTTTAGGTTACCAATCAATGCTATTAAATAGAGTTACATGCAATTAAATTTAAATGACCTGATTATGTAATTATTTATTGCGCCGTCAGTGACTAGAATTAACTCTTTTTTATTTTGCAGTTTCTATTGAATGTGTGAATATATGTAAGTCTTGGAAAGGAGATGTGAGTGGGAGATTCGACTGTAGTGTGCTATCTTGTGCCTGGAAGGCGCCAAGGGCCTTGACTGGGTTCCTTGCCAGCACAACTCATCCTTCTCAGTGTTCCTCTACTCCTTATAGATATGGAAGAAGAAATCGTCTCCACCGATGTGTAAGTTTTTACTCAACTCCCAACTTACACTCTTTGAAATTAATCACATTGAGTTAAGAAAATTTTATGTCCAAAAAGCTAGCTTTAGAGGCTTTTCTGCCTTGCAATGTACTAAAACTTGTTGGTCATTTACTTTTTGCCTGTGGTTAGTAACCTATTTGTGGTTCCTTATGTTGATGCGTAACTTGATCTAGGGAACAGGTAGAAGAATATGAGAGTCCAATTCAAAATTTTATGGTATTTATTGGAGCGACAGAACATTTATATAAACCCCCTTGAATGCCTTAGATACCTGGTGTCGAACAGTCTTATATAGCTCAACACCCTCTCTCACACATGTAATCCAATTTTGGGTTCACATGTAGACTTGGATGCAGATTTTACGAGCGTGAGATGAACTTACTAAAAGTTGCATATATTAGTTGAAAGAATTTGAGTATCCAACTTGAAACTTTAAGGCAATGATTCAATAGCTCAAGATCTTTATAGTTCATATTCTTGTTAGAGTATCTGTAAATTACACATGGAATTCGGTAAGAAGATTAGTTTGTTTGATTCTTATTCTTTAGTTAATTAGAGGAGGCTGACTTAGAGAGCTTGACCTCAGTCTCTATGATATGTTTCAGAATTTAAGTCGAGATACTTCTTGTTTTGCCTTCCTCATTCCTTCCTCCTGTTATTTAAAAACATTATGTGCAGCAAGCTATAGAAGTTTTTACAGGGTTTTTGTTTTTTAGAATGGTGGTGTCCCGGCCAGCTTGTGTGCGCCTTGACTATTCCACCAGGTACCTGCAACCTCCTACCAGTACAAGTACCGGGTAACTCTAACCACAAGGACTTAGATAGATGGGGAGAAATCACTTAGCATTTTTTGCTTCTGTTGGGATTTGAGCCATGGTCTCCAGTTTGTTAGAGAGATCTCTTTCATTTTTTCTTGTTTGTTGAAGCAAGGGCGCTCTTTAGAGCATTAGAGGAAGCTGTTGGAAGATAGAGTTCTTTTGGATTATGTTTCTGTGCTACCTATTAGAAGATTGAAGATTATTTCTGATTATTGAAATGCCTTCAGTTTGATTTCCTTGGCTGATGAATAATCCTTTAGCAATTTCCTTGGCTGATGAATTAATATTTTCACCAGTTATGTCAACACCTAATAAATCACATCTGTAATAGATTCTGGATGATGCCCTCAATTGTGCCTAGTGCAGCCTTTGGGTTTGTTCAGTTTAAACCTAAGTAAGGCTTCATGAATGAGGTAAAAAGTGGGAGGGTCGGTAGCGACAAGAAAAAGAATAAGTTGTCAGGATCGCCCCCTTCCCCACTAAAAAGAAATAAGAAGTAAAAGAAAGAAAATTCTGTGTCTTGAAAATGTCTTTTCTTGGTTATAGAGTTGCAATGGACTTCAATAGAGTGGAATGGTACAAAGAATTCATATACTGACCCCAACTAATCTGGAATTGACTTGTAGTTGATTGAAAAAAGTATCAAAGTTTAATGGTGCTACAACATCTGTTCTTCTTCAATACTTGTAACTAACATATACTAAATGCCATAGACATGCATATAGTGACGCATTAGAAAAATGAAAATGGGTGTTCTGGTGGCAAATACATGGATAGGCTGTCAATTTTGGACTGTATCAAGTTTCTCGAGACCCTTTTCTCCTGAGGTTAGTCAGTGACTCAACCAGCACGAGTTTAAGCTTGATCCATGTGGACTTTATTTTTGAATGTGCTTACTTATTTATACATGTATTTTCTGGAAAGTCATGCATGCAAACAGCACAGACTTATAGCTGATTTTCTTGAGAAGCAATAATTATTTCTTTTACAATCTTTCACCTGACTAGATTTTACTTGTGGCAGAGATGTTATACTTCTGATATGGATGAACGCTACTCTGATGAAGCTCTGCAAGCAGTCCCTGGCTCAAGGCTTCTACTAACTACTTCTAGCAAATGGAAATTATGTTGCTCTTTATCATTTTCTTCAGAGTCTTGTGAAGAGATATCTCCTGAAAGTTTGTGGGAGGTTAGTGATCCTCCAGCTACGGAGTCATCTCTGATTCCTGGCATCATTAATGACCAAAGTCTGCTTTCCTAGTCAAAACTTGTTGGTTTTATTCATAAATTAGCTTGCCTAAACATCATAGCTCTCTCATGATAGAAAGATCATGAATTGTGATTATCAGTTGCTTTTGGAAATTGAGAAGAAAATGCAAAATTAATCAATTTCTCTGGCAGGAAAGAAAATGGAAAATCCTATTGACTCAAATATCGCTAGCTATCCTAATTAAAATAGAAAAGCCTGAGCCTATCTCAGAACTGCTAATTCCACATTCTACTGATTGTTTTTTCTTCCATACATAAAACTTTCATACTTTCAATATTGAATCTACTGCAGCTGGTGTCTTTTGTGTGCATTTCTTTCTACATAAATTTAGACAAATTCATGTTCCTTCTGAAATTGATTAATTTTGCATTTGTGAATAGTTTTTGAAAGATACAGAATGAATTCTCAATTTTAAGTGCCTGATTTTTATGCTCATTTGCTAATATCAAGTGTCTGATATTGTTAGTATACTGAGCTGAGGGTCTATCAGAAACAACCTCTCTACCTTCACAAGGTAGGGGTAAGGTTTACGTACACACTATCCTCCCCAGACCCCACTTGTGGGGTTATACTGGGTTTGTTGTTGTTATGTTAGTATCTAACCAAAGTTAATTATCTGTTTCACAGGGTCTTATACCTTCCATTTCATATCTTTCTTACAAGGAATTGGAATTGGTTCGCAAGGCTTTGAATGTAAGTATATTCCCATATGATCAACATAATTGATCTTCTCCTCGGCTTTGATTTCCTTTCTCATCACTTCTTTCTTTGCAAGATAAAACATCTGTTACAAATATTTGGCATGCCATAATCTCCAACTAAATCAGAATAGCTGAAAAACCTGTCTGATCTACTGATTATTATTACAGCTTGCTTTTGAGGCGCATGATGGTCAAAAGCGTCGTAGTGGAGAGCCCTTTATTATTCACCCAGTTGCAGTTGCACAGATCCTTGGACAGCTTGTAAGTTGTGCGAACTATTGTACTTTCCTGGCTCAGAAGGCATAAACTGAGTTTGACTTTTTTCCTTTTTCTTTTTGAGGAATTGGATTGGGAGTCAATTGCTGCTGGGTTATTACATGATACTGTGGAAGATACAAATGTAGTTACTTTTGAAAGAATAGAGAAGGAATTTGGTCCGACAGTTCGGCGTATTGTTGAAGGGGAGACTAAGGTAGTTTCTTCTTCTTCTCTCTCTCTCTCTATATATATATGTATATATATCGTTTGTTTAAACAATTAAAAGAAATTTGTTCCTTTTTGACGTAAATGGGATTGATGTGTTAGGTATCCAAGCTCGGAAAGATCAAGTGCAAGGATGAAAGCCATGTACAGGATGTCAAAGCTGATGACCTTAGACAGATGTTTCTTTCCATGACGGAGGAGGTAATGCCCCTGTTTACTTGTACGGATTTAGTTACTTTCTTAACAGTCCCTTATTTAAAATGCTTCTGTTTCAGGTTCGTGTTATAATNCCGTGTTATAATTGTAAAATTGGCTGATAGATTACATAATATGCGCACTCTTTCACATATGCCTCCACACAAGCAGGTATATGTACATCTTAATTTTTTGTATCCGTCTCTGTCTAATATCTAACAATCTTGTTACTCTCTTTCCTTTCCAGTCTGGCATTGCAACAGAGACGCTGCAGGTTTTTGCTCCTTTGGCAAAACTTCTTGGAATATACCAAATCAAGGTCTCTTTAGCTTCTTTAAAACTCTTAAATGCTTTGACATACCTAAGATATATTGTACCTAATTTAAATTTCCTTTTCTTCCTCCCTTCCATACAGTGGCTGGTTGTCACTTGTCTGGCCTTCAGAACTGTATAGTTAGCTGTTGATGTACATGAATGTCTCTCATTTTCTTAACCCTTTTCCTGAAATTGCTTAATGATAATAGTAGTCGTTCTCATTATCAGTGATATACGATCATATTAATATTGGCATATCGAGTTTGGAATCTCTTCTGCAAAGAGACCTATGATGCAGCTGATTAAGTGATTTTCGGTTTAGTCCTCTCTTGATCTATTTTGTCCTCTAGTAGCCTTCTTTATCCTAGATGGACCTATCCTTTTCTTTTGTCTAGTGAGAGAATTGGGGCTGGGTGGGGCATTTTCTCTGGAAGCTACCTAAGAGGCTTTGAAGTGTTGTGGTTTACTGCCACTTGTTTCATTATGTACAGTTTCTTTTCTCTAAATTATGGTTTTATATCTGCTTAGTTTCATGAATATTTGACTTATCATCATGCAGTCAGAACTTGAAAACTTAGCATTTATGTATACAAATGCTCAAGACTATGCCAGGGTGCAGCGAAGAATTGCAGAACTTTATAAAGAACATGAAAAAGAACTCAAAGAGGTATCTATTCCTCACCCTTTTAAAACCTAATTACTTATAATGCTCAGAAGACCTCTGTCATCCAACCATCCATGCTGCGACATGCAACTGTTACTTATAAGCAGAGAACATTATCTGTTATCACTGTGGTGTTTATTGAAAGCCGTACATAGTTATCAGTTCACCTTTTTCTAAATGCGTCTTTTCTTCCCTTAGGCAAAAAGAATATTGATGAAGAAAATAGAGGAAGACCAATTCTTAGATCTCGTGACGGTGAAGACTGAAATTCATTCAATATGCAAGGAACCTTACAGGTGC